CAAATGGAGCAACCAAATAGAAAGGTAGAAGAGGAGAACGACGATCGCAAAAACTCTGGAAATGCATTATACAAGCCAGTACACACAGGTCCCAGAATCGGTCAACTGAGAGAGCCCCTAGTGCAACACAGTAGTGCATCAGTGGTTATGCCAAAGCAACAAGGAGATAATCTTACAGGTGTCGGACCTGATAAAATGAAACCAAGTAAGCCAGAGCAGACATCTAGAGAGTCAGGGTTTAGTTTGCCTTTCAGTTTTTCAAATGCCACTGCTTCAAAACCACAGCCAGCACAACCACTCAGCAGGAGTATATTCTCATTCTTTAGTGGATCAGAGACCCCTACATCTTCAGCATCTGCTGCTAATCTTCCTAATGCTGAGCAGCTAGAAACAGAAGGGCTATTTAAGCTTCCTTCCTTCTTTTCGACTGGTCCGACTGTCAAGAAAAGCGTGCCTCAAAGTAGTTCCAGCTTTAGTTTCTTCAATTTGACATCTTTTTTGGATGAAAAACCACAAACTCCTCCAGAGAAGGAAAACATTGCAAAACATGCTCAGCAAGCAAACTCTAAGCCATTTATGAAGCAAAGCATTTCTGTTGACTCTAGTATCAGAGTTACCAGACAATCAGGCTTGGACAGTAAAAAAGAGGCTCCTGGTATTGTGGAACCAGCAGTTGACAAACAAGAGACATGGAACAACTTCCCCAGCAATGCAAATGAATTAAACATTCCTGTAGAAAAGCGTTCAGTAGAAAGTGTTGCTGAAGTAAGCAAAGAGAATGGTGTAGAAAAGCCTTCACAGATTGATAGGAATGCCACAACAGAGCCAGTTTCTTCTGATCCTTGCCTTGAAGTTTCTAAGTTACAAGAGGACAGTGAGTTCTTCTTTCCAGAGTTTCAGGAGCCAAAAGAACATCTCCCAGACAGCACAGGAAAGGAAGAGTGTATTACACCTTCCTCAGCTAAGGAAGAGTATTCATGTTCAAAGGGACAAACTTCTGGAAACAGGGGTGGCAGTTCAGTTTCAGATGAAAAAAACAATTTCACAAATTTAAATGACTTAAATGTTACCAACAGTGTATCAAAGGAGGTCATCTCAGAAGAAAATTTGAATGTACCCAAGCATAAATTACCTGGGCACAAATTACCCGAGCCTACCTCTGGACTTAGATTAAAGCAGGCACAAGAGTCAAAGTCTTTCTCAAAGATGCCAGAAACACCTAATTTGCAAAACAAACCCAAGGAACCTGAGAATGACAAATCAGTACTGGATTCTTCAGTGGAAATATTTTCAAGCTTCATGACAAAAGTGAAATCTCCTCGAACTTTATCTGGCTTGTTCTCCCAATCTCAAACTCCAGCTGCTCCTAATGCTCAAAAGAAAAGCCCCTCCTTTTTTGGTCTCTCTTCTTTCCCAAGTGGACCAGCTCCAACTTTCACAAATGATCTTTTTGGCATTTTTAAAGGTGCAAAGGAAACCTCAAAAGAAGAGGTTTGTCTGAAACCCACTGCCAAACCTCAAGAAAGCAATAGGGCAAAAGACACCATAGGGTCAATTCCTATAAAAGATTCCAAAAAGCTAGAAGAAATATCCACAGCCGAAGTGTCTGAAATAAAGACCAGCAATTCTCTGAAGGAAACTTACACATCAGACTCAGAAGAGATCTCCACAAAAGATTCTAGTGTGCAAATAGAAATTGGAGAAAATCAAAGACTCGAAACCAGCCAAAAGAAGTCTCAGCTAAATGCTTCAGAAATGTTGGTGTCAGGTGAAGATCAAGTGCCTGAAGTACTTCAATTGAATGCTAATTTACAGCCCTCTGTAGAGTTGGGGAATGATGACCTGTGCCATTCAGACTTGGACAGTGCAGTTGGTACAGAACAGACAATGACAACTGACCAGACAGATCTCAATTTGTGTCACTTAGATGTGGGCACTACTCATGTAACAGAAGAGCCACCAGCTCTTACTGAGGCAGATGTTAACTTCCTCCAGGCTGACCTTAATAGTGTACTTGAACCCAGAGCTCTAACTGATGAGGCAGATCTATGTACTACTCTTGAATCAGGACTAGTCATTCCAGGGGATCAGGCAGATATTAATGCCTATCAGTCAGATGTGAATAGGACCCTTGAAATAGAACCCAAAGCTCCAGCTGATGAGACCAATGTTAATTTGTACCAGCCAGATATGAATAGGACTCTTGAAATGGAACCAAACATTCCTGCAGAGCTGACAGAGCATTTAACAATGAATGAAACGACTACAGGAGGAACTAGCCCCAAATGTGATTTGAATAAACAGTGTAAACCAACTAATGTTCCCCTAGATGGAAGTAGTAGTAAACCTGTATTTGAAATGCCAAGTATGCCTACTTTGGCAAAATTCAGTTTCATGTCATCTTCTACGGAGGGTGGAAAGCCATTTGGGTCCTTCTTCTCACAACAGCCACCTTCTGCAAATAAAACTGCAGCAGAGCCAGGCCTCATGTCCAGTTTTAAGAAGTTTTCTTCAACTCTGTTTGAAGGAGGTAATGAAGAAAAAGTGAGTAAGACAGACAGTGTCCAAGGGGCAGTGTTTGGCAAGAAGCTAGATTTTTCATTTCCTTGGCAAAAAGACAACAAGGAGACCTCTGTCAAAAGGGAACCGGATGTGCTGCCGCAGCTTTTATCAAAATCAGATGTAAAGGTGCTGGAAACGGTCAGTGCAGATGAGAATTCAAAATCCGCTGTGTCTAATCAACTAGATGATCCAAATACTGAATCAAGTTTTTCTGCTGAGCAGCCTGACACGGTGAATGCTGAACTTTCTGAAGAAGCGTCTGGAACCAGCACTGTTGATGTGTCCAGCAAAAAGTTAAAAGACAGAGTTGCTGAAGAATCTGAAGATCAACAAAGCACAGTTTCCAATAAACTGTCTCATCCTTCTTCTGTGGAAGAACCACCAGGAGAGTTACCACATCAGCAGGTTGAGTCTGAACAGGAGGATCTTGTTTCTTGTCCTGACACAGTAGCACTTCATCCTGGATCACAAGCAGCAGATCTGAATAGCATGGAACCATCAAATAAGAAAAGGCCAGTTACAAAAGCAGCATAATAAATGGTGTCAAGCAATTGACCATTTATAATGCAAGTGCTCTCTAGCAGTAGATATCAAACTTTGTGTTACTGTGCATAGTTCAGTCTCATCTCTATTTATGATCAATTGTTTGTAGCATTACTTGTAGTTGACATTAGAGAATACTGTTGTGTAGTCACTAGATTAAACACTAAGTCCTTGTATCATTTTTCTCAACTTCCTCTGCTCTCTTCTGTTTTGTAATTAGCTTGCTTATGTGCTCCTTTTGTGTTCTGTCTCAGTGAATGAGTTGTTTTGAGTGTTACTTTCATTAGCCTTTCACAACTTAATTCTTTCCGTGATAAAAGTCGGGTATGTGCAGAATGGTTTTGCTTACTTGTTTAGTGATTATATTCACTGAAAAACATTTGTAACACTAGATAATACACCTCTACCCCAATATAACGCGACCCGATATAACACGAATTCGGATATAACGCGGTAAAGCAGCGCTCCGGGGGGGCAGGGCTGCGCACTCTGGCGGATCAAAGCAAGTTCAATATAACGCGGTTTCACCTATAACACAGTAAGATTTTTTTTGGCTCCCGAGGACAGTGTTATATCGGGGTAGAGGTGTACTGTGCTGTGCCCAGAAAATGAGGTTATTTATAAAATAGATATTCAGCCTTTAAATTGTTGAAGCTTAATTTGCCATTGTAATAATTACAGAAATATTTAGAATGCTTTTCAATTTTTCAGGCTTTTTAACATTTCCAAAGGTGGCAATGAAGGTATTACAGGTTAAACTGTAAGGTTGTGATTCATTAAAAACTCTACAAAATCTGCATACTTCAAGCAATGTAGGGTGCTACTGAGTAAGGTTTGCAGTAGTTCACGAACCCCTATTTTGTCCTGTGTATATTCCAAATTATAATTGCCTCAGTCTCACACATGGTGGAGATTTGCTGAACTGCCATTGGTGGGCAGTGAAAGGGAAGCTTGCTCTCCCATATGTCCCTATTTTAACTATACAGTACTATGAACAGAGGAAATCAGACTCCAGGGCTGCCAATCCAGCACCAAATGCAATTAAAAAAATGTAACATATGTGAGAAGCACACACAGTGCATTAATTCCAATTGACTCTCATTCATGAATCAAAATCTATTCCCAGAGTGCCTGTAACTGATGCATTGCTCGTGCGCATTAAAGTCAAAACATTATCCATCCATATTAGGTGATTGAAAGTATTATACATATACACAAGTAAAATGTTTTAGAAATGGTTTCTGAGGGAAATCTTAATATGGAATTTCCTGACTCTGCATGTGAAATTTCCATTCCAAAATGTCCTCATTTTTATGTGAGGTTTTTATATGGAATCATTGCTTTCCGAAGAGTTCAGTAGGATTAAGATGTATGTGCGCCTTTTGCTAAGAAATAGCCATCTTTCTGGTCACAGATTCTGGCAGCAGTACAATTAATGAGGTGGAAGTAAAGAGCATCTAAAATAGTGGAAGATGAGCTATCTTCCTTCCTGATTCCCATGTGCACATTTCTACTCTTCTGTGTTGATTAGAATACCTTCATTGTCAACCCTGGCTGAATTTCTTTAGACTAGGGGAATAGTATAGTGCTGGTATGAGTACTGTTACAAATTTGGTTAGTATACCAATAGGCACTACATTTGTGTCTCTTGCTATAGTACCTACAGTAGGTTTATGCCCAATTTCTGATGTAACTTAGATTAATTCAGGGATTACAATGGTTAGATGCCATGAATTGATAATACACTTCTAGCAAGCCAGAATATAGCCAAGCTTCGCACTAAATTTATAGTCTTATAGTTTCCGTGCAGATAGTTAGTCCCTAAACTTGTTGTTTGTTGCATGTTTCCTCCCTGCCACTGCCTTTTGACTTATTTATCTCTTCCTCCCTCCCAGTCCTGCGGGAAGCAGCAGGTATGGCTCCTCATGTAATGTCAGTCAGGGAAGCTCTCAGCTGAGTGAGCTGGACCATTACCATGAAAGCACCCATGGGTCTGAGCAAGAGGATGAACACCGGGAAGGGGAATCCAATCATTCCTGTCACAGCTCTGGCAGCTATCAGAAGGATGGCCAGGAGTGGCGCAGTGAGCCGGAGGAACACCCTGAGCATCACAGCGAAACAGCAGAGAAGGAAAAGGTCTGTGTGAGAGAGGAGACAGCTCAAGATCATTCTGCATCCAAATTAACCCCACAACTTGAGAAGCCCAACGATATCCCTGCAGGGCGGCCAGAGAGGTAAGTGAAGTGTACAGTATGTCAGTGTAAAGTAATGGAGATGTTGTAACTTACAGTGAAATCATACAGGCCGGCATTCCACTTTCCCCGGGGGTGCTTGACCCATGCTCTTCTCCAGGCCTCGCCCCCATTCCGCCCCTTCCCCCAAGGCCATGCCCCCTACCTCTTCCCGCCCCTGCCCCTCCCCAAGCGCGCCCCTACCTCACTCCTCCTGCATGCTGCTAAACAGCTGATTCACGGCGGGTGGGAAGTGATGGGAGAGAGGAGACACTGATGAGCGGGGCTGCGGGGGTGTCGGGGGAGGGAGGGCTGCCAGTGGGTGCTGAGCACCCACTAATTTTTTCCCCTGGGTACTCCAGCCCTGGAGCATCCACGGAGTCAGTGCCTATGAGTGAAATGCTCATTTTACTGTTGACATTGATATCATCTGGTTAACCCCGAAGTTGGAAGTGAGTCTGCGATGTCCCCGTCTTAAACTCTTCCCAAACAAATCGGTTGATCATATGAACATGCTGTATTCTGATAAATATCGTTACACTCAGTGACAGATGTTTGGGAAACTTCAACTATATTTACTGGATAGCTGAGCTGCAGGCACTCTCCTTCAGTGACCTAGCAACTCATTTGCAATATTTTTTTCCTCCATTCTTGATGAGGGATATATGAGGCAGGCCTGGAGTAGCTGGATTGCTCATGCTTGGAAAAGCTATGCGCTTATCTCCATATTAGCAAACCAAACCTGTTTAGTGGCAGTGAACTTTGTGGCAGGACACACGTCATCCATCCAAACCTGAAAGGAATGGAAATAAGTTAAGACATTTTTTCCCACCTTCATATTTCATTGAACACTACCAATATCACGCTCCCTAAAACTTTCACTCCCATCTCCAACAGGTACCGAAAAGCAATATATCAGCTTCATCAAACTTGCACTCTAACACAGAACCGTAACAGTGACCTCAGGGTTTTATACCAGTTGTTCATCACATCTGACTGTTAGATATTCCATGCATTTGGGAAGCTAAACCACCTTAACACTGCTGACGACAATTTGCAGTCCAGCACAGCTGTGAACAAGTGTCTTGTCCTACTGGAAAGGCAAAGAACAGCTGATTTGATCATTTATGCCATTCTAAATTGATTATTATTGATAGTCTTGACTACTCAGAGGGAAGAAATGTACAGTTTATCATCTATAAAAATTCCTACACTTTGGAACATTATTGGCATAATCACTGTTAGTTTTCAGGAACTGTATAATTCAATTGCCCTGTACTCTATCTGACTGTCGTCATTAGCCTGTCAGAGTACAATGATTTGCATTATTATTGTAGATTATTTCTCAGTATTCATCATATGAATAAGCAAATTTCTCACCTCTGATTCACTGCTATAATTCCTCTGCTATTGGTCCTGTACTGTAATGTTCCAACCTTTTTGCCAATGGTGAAGACAGCCCTTCGTTATTTGTCTCACTTCAGCTGAAGCAGAAATACTCCTAGGCTTAGGACTGGTCTACACACAGGTTTTGTACCAACTTAACTATTTGCTTAGGTGGCTGACTTCCTACCAAAATAGTTAAACTGGTCCAAGACCCTAGAGGGGATGCAGTTATGTTGATATAAAGGTGCTTTATTCCGGTGTAATTATTCCCTTGAATGTAGAGAAGGTTAAGGGGTGACTTGATTGCAGTCTATAAGTACCTATGTGGGGAACAAATACCTAATAATGGGCTCTGCAATCTAGCAGAGAAAGGTATAACGTGATGCAGATGCTGGAAGTTGAATCTAGACAAATTCATTCTGGAAATAAGATGTACATTTTTAATGGTGAGAGTAATTAACCATTGGAACAACTTACCCAGGATTGTGGTGGATCTACCATCACTGGTAATTTTTAAATCAAAATGGAATGTTTTTCTAAAAGCTCTGCTCTAGGAATTATTTTGAGGAAGTTCTCTGACCTGTGTTATATAGGAGATCAGATTAGATGGAACCTGTGAATCTCTGAATAAGAATGAACTATACAGGTATAAGCACCTTTTTACTAATATAGGTAAATAGGTGCAATTTTTATGTAGACAAAAATTGTCAGAGACCTAAAAAGACGACATCACTACCAACAAAAAAGACTGGTGGAAAAAGAGAGCGCTAAACTTTTCTAAAAGTCTTGTGGTTACTTCATTCACCTCCTTCAGACTTGATCCTGCTTTCTTCTTACAAATCAGCAACATTCTTTCCGCAGAAATAACTATTTCCTGTTTGTTTACATTGTTATCAGTTGTCATGTGTGTCTGGCACTACACAGACAGGTAAAGACCAGGTGCCTTCCCCTTAATGCTCACCATGTAAATGGGAAATGTACAAGGGATGGACTAGTGCTATGTGTGGTAAGGGAGAATGTGTAGACAAGTACATGTTGGGTTGTTGTGGTATAAAAGTATGATCAACCGAAGTGTTTGAAGGACAGATATGCACACGCCCCACCCGTCGGGGTGGTGGCGGCAGCAATTTGATAAACTGCATTTATCATGGACCTGTGACCACAAACATACCCCTCCTACTCCCTTTCTGCTGGGACTGCTTTTAACATTGCAAATCTCTAAGCAACTTGAGGCTGTTATTTTTTAAAGCTACAAAAATATTTCTTTCCCTCACATGTGGAATTTCTCCCCTGAAAAGACCAGGAACGAGTTTGTCTCGTTATCTAAGTCATCAAGTGTCAGAATAGTAGTTTTGTACTGTTAGAAAGCTAGGAATTTCTCTTTCCCATAGTTGCTATTTCAGTCCAGTGCCTCTTATTCCTAACTGCCCTAGATTGGCATCTCCTTTACAGGAGTATCTTTGGGGTTGTATGTGGCTTTCTGATGTGCTAGATATTCATGTGCCTCTTGAGCTGTAATTGCATTTGCACTCCAGTTCCTTAACAATAATGCCACATTTTGAATGAGTGTATTTCACTTTGTGGTTTTTCTATTTCTAAAATTGTTCTCATGTCTTTGTTTTAAGTTACCTTGATGAAAATGAACCCCCAGCGTTTTCTCCTGCAAGAGCTCGCTGGCTCCGAGCCATTAACAAAATACGACTACGGCTTCAGGAGGTAAGGTTACATGTTACTTCACTTTTTCCTCCTTTTCTATGCTTGCTAATTTTTTAGATTTGTGGCTGGAGACTCTTCGTGGGACACCTCCTAGTTTTAGTTTCTACTAGCAAAATTTCAGTAAACACAACATACAAAGCTGGAATCTGTGTATTGTACTGAGGCCCATAGTATTAGAGCCACTTAGAAACAAATGCTGTGGTAGAATTGATAGTTCAGTAGCTGGACATTTCAGAAGGGATTTTAACAGACCTGGAGCTGAATATTCAGAAAAAAGATGCAGAATCTGTGAAAGTGCTTTCTAATTTGTATAAAATGTATTTGAAACCAACAGACACGGCTGCTAGATAATTTGGGACTGAATTGTTGATTATTTACTTTGACCAGTTCAAAATTCAGAGAATGTGCTTTTCAAACTATTATCAGAATCTCTTGTTAGCTCAGTAGGATTGTTTCTCTTATAGTGCAGAATTGTTTCTTGAGAAGCTTTACATCAAACACTTCATAAATCTTTAATCAATATTAATGGGTGTATATCCTGACATGTCTGAAAATGTAAGGGGTTTGTTAACCTTGTTATTTAGAAGTTTAAAAGGAACAGATTGGGAGGTCGTCTTCTGCATTTGGAATATTCTGATCTGAAAAGCATAAAAACAGTTTTCAGTATGACTTTTACACTGAGTTTTTATCCTGTGTTCAGTCACAGAGAATATATGGTGTGTTCAGTTTCTACAGATGGTAAGCTGTTGCCTGCTAGCAGAAGCACACACTTCATGTCTTCCTTTTATATGTGGTCTTTTCCTTTGTCTGCTTTTTAATGGTATGGGTGTTACAATGATATCTGTCTGCTTGAAGGCTTTGATAACGTCCTGCATGGGATACAGCTGAGTACCACTAGCAGAATTTGTTTCTATTTCCTGCCTTTCTTTTGGATCTGTTTCAAGTATGTGTCTTGGGAGACAAAAGAGCTGTTTGTCTTGTTCTTAACAGTTCCATTTTTGGCTCACCTTAGTCATAATCCAGACCCCGTTTCCACCTAATTCTTGAGATCTATGATGCATCAAATGATGGTGCTTTGACTATTTTAAGGTCAATGAAGTAAGTTCACATTTTGGACTGGACAAACTGGGATTTTAAGAAGAATATGTATCAAACTTTAGGGACAAAACTGGCAGGGCTTGTTGGGCACTGGTGTTGAGAAGAAAGGAAGCTTTTGTTTAACTGATGTCATATGGTATATACTTCTTGCATACAAATAAAACAGAATTTAGTTCTGCCGTAGAGTATGGAGAATATGACAAAATTATCCCTGCTGAAGAAAATGAAATGGATTGTAGCATCTATACCTAGTACCACAGAGATTACTCTACATCACCATGTGCCAGTGGATCTCTGTCCTGATGTGGAAGGACCACTTACAGATGTGAGAGGCAAATTCAGTATCCATATGAATTCAAAGCTTTGACTTTCTGCTAATGTGATCGGTAAACAAGCCAATGACTGATGATTACAATTCTGGTTTTGGTAAAGTAGCCACATGTCCATTACCCATTGACCTGAGCTGGCAAACTCCTCTTACAGATACTGAAACTGGTTGTAGTAACTTTGGTTTGCTAATCATCTGGGTAGGAATTTGAACCACTAACCCAGAGATAGAAAGCGCCATATGTGGTTATCAATCCAGCCTCCCACCTAGGAAGAGATTAGCCCTCATGTGAGTGTTATGCATACATCCTACAGCATCATGAGTCAGCGAGTTAAGATTTTAATGTAAGATTTGATAGATATAAAGAGGTACAGTAAGTTGTGAATATGCAAATTACTAAAAATTTCTTCTTCCAATGTATATTGAGTTTGTCTCGGTGTTTGCTGGTTTGTTGAATTCCTTTGAATGGAGACTTACAGATGAGTCAAAATGTGACTTTCCCATTTCTTAGCTGGTTTGTCCCTGGATTACTGCAGTCATCTAAAAAGAATTAACTTTAATCATTCCAGAATAAAACCATGGTTTCTAGCCCAGCAAGGGCTCTGACTGAATCCTCATACCCTCACACAACAGCAGGGCCGGCTCCAGGCACCAGCCGAGCAAGCTGGTGCTTGGGGCGGCAGCTTGTAGGAGGCGGCATTCGCCCAATCGTAGGGCGGCACGGCTGCCTTTTTTTTTTGTGTTACGCTCTGGCCGCCCTGTAGGGGGCGGCAGCGCGGAGGACGGGAGTGCCCTGCAGCAAGCCCGGCAGAGCAGCCCGCGTCCTTCCCTCCCCGCCGACCAGAGCGGCACAGAGCCCTCCCGGCAGGCGGCAGGGCGGGAGGGGCCGCGTGGCAGCGCCCCGCTGAAGCCCTGGCCTGCCCCCTTTCTCTCTCTCCCTCCCGCTCCCTCCCCCCCCCCCCCGTCCCCCGGCCCCGGCGGCGCCGCCGGTTTTTTTTTTTTTTTTTTGCTTGGGGCGGCCAAAAAGCCAGAGCCGGCCCTGCACAACAGGCTTGTCTATACAGGGAAATTAATAAGAATAGCTATTGTGGTTAATTTTTCCATGTAGGCACTCTTATTCTGGAACAAGAGTGTCTGCACAGGGAGCTATTCTGGAAAACTGTTGTGCTTTAAATTCACTCCCTGCCTTAATCCAAAATAATTGTCAAATGTAGATGAGCCCAAGAAACTTTTGAGTTAAGGCAAATTTGAATCTGATTTTTCCCTTAAGAACATAAGAACGGCCGTACCGGGTCAGACCAAAGGTCCATCTAGCCCAGTATCCTGTCTTCCGACAGTGGCCAATGCCAGGTGCCCCAGAGGGAGTGGACCAACAGGCAATGATCAAGTGATCTCTCTCCTGCCATCCATCTCCACCCTCTGACAAACAGAGGGTAGGGACATCATTCCTTACCCATCCTGGCTAATGTCCATTAATGGACTTCACCTCCATGAATTTATCCTTGTGTTAGTCTGCAAATTTAACGAAGATATAAGAGTATTTCTATTTGTTTTTGATAAAGAAAAACATTTAAAGACCCTATAGACATACTCCTGAGTATTGAAAGTACTGTAATGAGTACTGTAAACATTGCCATCCAGAAGCCATTTGTCCCTTTTTTTTTTTTTTTTTTTTTTAAGACCATTACTGCTTTGATATAGGGAAGGTGGTGTGAAATTTCTTCCCGTACTTTAGGTAAAAGGTTAAATACATTGATTCATTCACTTTTGTGCTCTACTTTAGGCATTTAGGCCATGTTTTCCCTTGAATTTTTTTCTCATAGATGCAGTTCTCTCCAAAATGGTTTTGATTTGAAATCTTCATCTTTACCAATTAAATACCCTCAATTCTGTTCTCTTTAATAGTCCTGTAACTCCATGGTCTGTCTAGATAATTGCTTCTATTGCAGATACCCTCCCCCCAGGGTAAGTGACTGTTCTCCTGTACCTCCTTGTTGATCTGATAAGGATCAGTCTCGTTCAGTCTCTCTTGCTGGATATTCAGCAGTTCTGAAAATTGAGCCACTTTTCTAGGCACCTCAATAAGTATTAGGAGCCCAGCTTTAGGCACTCATTTTTGAAAATTGTTTCATAATAAATTTTAGAGTCTATGTAATGTGTTAATTAAGCAGAAGGCATTCTCTAAATGGTTCTTAGTTTCCCAATATAGTCCTGCATGTCAGCCAAAGATTTTGTTGCCAGGATTTCCTCAGGGGTGCGATGCAAATTAATGATCAAATACCGGCTGCCTGCTGTGGGCTGTGGTTTCGTTTTTGGCAGAAGTTGCATTCCTGTGCTGTTTGCCCCATTTTTAGTGCCTACTAGTAAAGAAGAAATTGACAATATTAACCTATTTAAGTTAATGCAGTGTTTGTGAAAGGCACTGGATTGATAGTCTTAGCAAATGAAGTTGTATTTGTCCAGTGGACAAATGAAGTGCAGTGTCAGTGAAAGCCCTTCCTACTCTGTCCTGTACTGTTCACCTGTACTGGAACGGAAGGACACCTTCTAGGATTGTGTAGGAAGTTCAGTCTCTTTGGCACTTCCCATCATTGGTGAAAACTGGTAGGCAGGGTACTAATTAGTGCCAGTTGTGATTGTATGTGTTGTGAGTTGAGTAATTGTCCACTTGGAACTGGACTGAGACCCACAGGTCAACAACACACTTTGAATGCCAACTACTTGCCATTATTAGCCATCTGGGTTGGATTTGAATTGGTGACCCAAAGGTGAAACTCTCCATATCCAATTCCCAAGCTCCTGGACTATTCATAGCGTACTGACTGCTAATCGTTTTGGTGGAATTTAGTATATTTTTACTATTTTACTCCCGCTTGATCATTTAAAAAATATCTTTGCAAATGTCTTTGGCCAGTACTCCAAAGATGATTAAGCTGTGCATTTCCAAAGCATCCCACGCAGTAACAGAAAAGTGAGTTGAAGCTCTGTATATTTCAGTTCTGAAAATATACTTTTCCTAAGGGTTGCCATAGATTTGTTATCACATGGAGAATGTCATCTCCATCTGCAAGACTTTTATGTTCTTTGCCAGATATTGTATCTGGCAGGGTTTCCTCCAGTTCTGAGAAATATCACAGATCAAATTATGCAATGCTGGGAAAAAAAATCTGTAGAGAGTTTCTCTGCTTTAACTTCCTGCCTTCCTCAAAGATCCCATTGGTACAATGGAGAGAACAGTTAGGATAGGGATTATTTTTGACCTTATTACAGACCTCAGGCACTTAAGCAACATTTCATTTCTGTGTACTTCAGATCCTCATATGTCTAATGGGAATGCTATCCCATACTTTATAGGGGTGTTGTGAGGATAAATCAGTAAATACGTGGGAAGCACTCGGATACTGAAGCGATGGAGGGTACATAAGTATGTATGTAGACCATGACCACACTCTACCAGATTGTTCTCTAGCTAATGGGCAGACCAGTCTTGTGCAATAGCAGAAGAAATCTGCCAAGCAGAAACTTATCCCACCATATGCCTTCACAGAGCCCCACCTTGCTTCATCACTATCTC